ATGTAGCACTTTAAAGACTAACAAGATGGTTTATTAGATGATGAGCTTTCGTGGGCCAGACCCACTTCCTCAGATCAAATAATGGAAGAAAATAGTCACAACCATATATATATATCCTTTGGTAATAAACCATCTTGTTAGTCTTTAAAGTGCTACATAGTCCTGTATTTTGTTTCAGCTACACCAGACTAACACGGCTACATCTCTATCACTATAGGGATTGGATAGCACCCAGGACCACAACTCTCAGAAGGGACCAAAACCCCAGATAAATCTATTTTACTCTGTATAAAAGTCTTACACCGGTGAGGAACAACCTAGGCTAGTGTGTGGGCCACATGAGTGGCCCTCCATCTCAGTGGGCTGCAAGATTGTTGTAATCAAGACTCCTGGGATGGGGTAGTTTTGCTAACTACTCTTGTGTACCTATAATTCGCAGGGTGTACTGATTGAACCATAGCAGCACTTTGATTGGCTGCAGAGGGAGTGCAGGGCTCTCACAATATTGTGTGCAATCAGCATGCACCTTACTTCACATGCCCTTGCTTTAAGTTTAAAAAGCTACACAGACAAACAACAGCAGAACTGGCAATCCTGTATGTGGGCAACGGTAAACACAATGTTCCGTGGACCACACACAATCCCAATGGGCCGCATGTGGCTCTCAGGCTGCAAGTTGCCCACCATCCTCTTACACAGAGAAAGCTCATAAGGCTCATTCTCTTTATGCAAAAGAGATATGCACAGCTGTGGCTCCCCCCACAGGTAACAATTATTTACATTAGGATTGATAATAAATAAAAGTGTTTTCATTAAGTATAAAAATTAGGATTTAAGTGAATGCACGTGAAAACAGACAGATCAGCGTTACTAAACCAAAATAAACAAAACATACCAATTAAACCATTACACTGAGTAACTTGTTACATGCAAATTCTTACCCTATCAGTAGTTCTATCATCTTTTTACAAGGTAGGCAGCCTTTTAGCTTGCGATGGATCCTTCCCCTATTCACAGACATTTTGGGTGTCCAGCAACTGACTCTATTGTTTGGTTTCCCACCCATGGGTGTCCAGTAATGTAGGCAAGGGGGTGGACAGGGTTTGGCTCCAGGGCCAGGGCCAGGGCCAGGGTTTGCCTTCTCCTGCTACAAGTTCACCCGCTGCCCATGTTTCCACCTTTATAACCCCTTTGCTCATGACCAGAATTCTTTGTGTTCAGTTAAAACTTTTCTCACCTTGAGTGAAAAAGTAAAAGATCCAAAATTGGTTCCAGCATCAGATGGTCTGACCACATATTGTAGGAGGGCCAACCACAATCCAAGCTTACAGAAAAAAAAACAAGACTATTTGCAGGTCATTGGTGGGAGTACCAAGCCATTATGTTTTCCGAGTATCACTAATGGCCCTCATTAGAACATCCAGAATTATAAACAGTTTCACATTTCATAATTTTAACTTCACACACAAAAATGATACATGCACAGAAATAGAATAGACACATTCAGCAGATTGTAACTTTAAAAATGGTGTCACATGATGCATTTTACCTAAAGCGTCTTTGAGTTAAGCATATTCATATCCACAAGCCAATTTTCATAAAGCATGGGGGGGCCATATACAAAAATAAAACCATCTCTCTATTCCTAATCTCATTATTTCTGTTTTATACATCAGAGGATTGCATCCTATTTTTTACCCCAATACCCTTTTTTACCCCAACATAACTGACAACTCGTGTTGAGTTGTTTGTTCACTGTGACCCCAAATCCTTTTTGCATTCCAGGATACAGTTCCCTACTCTGTAGGAATGGCTGCCATGACTTTTTCTTAGATGAATAACTTTGCATTTGGCTATATTCAAACACATTTTTTTGGAATGGGCACAATTTACCAAGCAATCCTGATTTCTGTGTAGGACTGTCTTCCTCATTCTACTCATCATACCACTCCAACAATCTTTGTGTCATTTACAAATTTTATCAGCAATGATTTAATTTACACTTGTTCCAGGTCACTGATGGAAATGTTGAATAGCATTGAGCAAAG